AACAAATTACTCTGAATTCTATTCGTTTGTTCATAGCCACACATGAAAAATCAGTTTTCCATTCTGAAAAAAAATTTAAATCCACTTTTTTTTCTCTTAAAAAATCTTTATTGAATGAACATGGAAATAGCAACAATAACAAAATTGTTGGGTCTTTCACAAGAAATGTATATTCTGACACAGTTCCTTCACACAATTGTAATCTCTATCAAATAAAAATATCACACAAAAGATTGACATGGGAGGCTAGTAGAAGATAAGTCTTGTTATTCTTATTAGCATAAAAAAAGGAAATCTAATTTTGAGCAATTCTCTTAATTTTGGAGCCTTCTCACTCCTTTGGCTCTAAGTATAGCTGTCTGTAGCACTCTGACATTTGGGAGTATAGTTTGTATGTGAAAGCAAGTATATGTCTTTTTTGGTTTCTTTTCATTTCATACCACAAAAGGCACTTTTGTTTCCTCATCACACATTCCTTTCAGCTTTGTTATCACTCTTCAGAATGGGCTATTGAACATCTAATCAGGTACTTCTTTCTTCAGCTGCCACTGCTATTACTCCTATTAAATGTTGCAGACCACAATCAATAATCAGTTTAGTTCCAGATAAGGTACATCAGTGCTCTTATAATCAGTGCATTAGACATGGCTGTTCAGGTAAATCTTTGCAGGAAGTAAAGGATCAGCGCTACAGGAATTCCTACGATCTGTTGTCCTTATTTAAAACAAGGGTGAAAAATCTTTCAACAAAGAAACAATAATATTAATAACGTCACAGGAGGTTGGACATTTTTAGAATAGGCTAATCAGAATCAAGGCAACTGAAGTTAATTTTGACTAATTTCAGTTTATTTCTGTAGGTCTACTCTAAATACAACTGTGGAGTCAACCCAGTATGTATATGAGAGAGGTAACAGGCAAGCTCCTACGCTTAAACTGACTTGCTGCAGATGACACTCAAAAATGGGTGGCTATTAGTCTTTTTTTGTTTACTTTTCTTTTCATTAATGAGTTTTATGTTTGAATTGAGTTTGCTTTATCTGATTTTATAGCTAGCCTCCCTGAATGCCATGTTAAGTAGAAAAGTAATAAATCCAATAAATAAAGGAAGAAATAAATCTGCTGGATTGTTTTGTGCCTCATTATTTAGATGACAGTTATTCAGATTTTCTGACAGATGCTTTTTAGAAGCCTATAATCAAAGCCACGTGTGCTTAAACAAATATAGCAACAGTACCACCTTTTTAAACAGGGATGTGGTGGCGCTGTGGGCTAAACCGCAGAAGCCTGTGCTGCAGTGTCACAAGACCAAGCAGTCATAAGATCGAATCCACGCGACGGAGTGAGCTCCCGTCGCTTGTCCTCAGCTCCCGCCAACCTAGCGGTTCGAAAGCATGCAAATACAAGTAGATTAATAGGGACCACCTTGGTGGGAAGGTAACAGCGTTCTGTGTTTAAGTTGCACTGGCCATGTGACCACAGAAGATTGTCTTCAGACAAGCGCTGGCTCTGTGGCTTGGAAACGGGGATGAGCACCGCCCCCTAGAGTCGAACACAACTGGACAAAAACTGTCAAGGGGAACCTTTACCTTTACCTTTACCACCTTTTTATGGCAGCAGTTTGAGTCAAGGGAATTGTTTGCATTGAACTCCTATTTGGAAACCTATGACCACTACTTTCTCGAATGCTGCTACTTACAACTGGGAGTAGAGATTAATTTTGGAAAAGGTGGGGGGAATGTGGAAATAAACTTTCCAGGTTGTACATGTAAATCCCAGAGCTGTTAAGAGCTCAGATTTATCACTTTTCCTACCCTTTCACCATGAACACCATTTTATAGGATGATAGGATACAAATTTAATCAGTCATGGATTTCAACTGGCAAAACTTTGGTGCTAGCCATCTCCTCTGCCAAATTATTTCCTAATTTATCACTCTTTCCTCTTTTTCCCCCTCACTTTTTCCTGAATTTTAAAGCTACCTAGGCAACGTCAGCTTCAACCAAAATGCTTGATTTAAAAACAGAACAGGATGATTCTTATTGTCAGTAACATATGGATTTAGAGGGGTTCAAAAATGTCCTTGACAACTAAATGGGGACTACATGTTTCCTGGTCTCATCCTGAACTGTTCCCATTGACACAATCTCACAGAGAGTAGCTGTTTTTTAAGGGGAAACCTTAACCTTGGAAACCATTGTCAGTAAGAGTAGACAGGGCCTGTCTCGATGGATCAACGGTCGAACTCCTTATAAGGTAGCTTTCTAAGCATTTGCCACTGTGGTACCTATCACTATCAGTACTATACGCTGCTCAGATATGAAGCTCATGAAGTTATTGCTACTTAGCAGTTGCACTTATGGACTGGAAACAGAGTTCTGTCCAGTTGCCTCTGAGCAGTTCACAAGGCTTTCTCCTCTTGCTTGGCTCAAGCATTTGGTGTTTAGAAGTATACTGCCTCCATACTTGGAGATTCTCACTCACAGTCATAGATAATAGGCAATGACAGAACTGTCTCTTGTTACAGCCAGCTTCAAAGGATCATCAGGCTGGATCCAGACCTTACTTTTGCAACTGAGCCTCCTGCTGAAGGAAGGATATGGAGCAACAATGTTTTGTCAGTTTCCCCTTCCCTCTGTGGCTCCGGTCCTCTCCCCAGCATTATTGGCAGATTACAGTTATTCTCTAGAGCAGCTTTTCAAGAGACAAAGGGGCTGGAAATATAATAAAGAATAGGAGAAATTGCCACCCTAACCCCTTCCCCTACTACAAGTGCAATTCTACTAAGCACAGATCTGCATCCAACACATTGCAACAAGATATGTTTCTTTGAGGGCAAACTGTGTGTTATAGATAATGCATCATTAGCGTGAGTGTCCATCACAAGGTAAAGGTTCCCTTGACATTTAGTCCTATGAGTGTCCATCACAAGGTAAAGGTAAAGGTTCCCTTGACATTTAGTCCAGTCATGTCCGACTCTAGGGGGTGGTGCTCATCCCCATCTCTGAGCCACAGAGCCAGCATTTGTCCATAGACAGTTTCCGTGGTCACGTGGCCAGCACGACTAGACACGGAACGCCATTACCTTCCCACCATGGTGGTACCTATTTATCTACTCGCATTTACCATGCTTTCGAACTGCTAGGTTGGCAGGAGCTGGGACAAGTGACGGGAGCTCACTCCATTGCATGGATTCAATCTTATCACTGCTGGTCTTCTGACCTTGCACCACAGAGGCTTCTGCAGTTTAACCCGCAGCGCCACCACGTCTTCGGCCATAACAAAGATATACCTTAATCATCTCTGAAACATTAACATGCTTCAGCTTTTAATGAAAGCTATCTGCAACCTATAGTTTGACTCTAAACTCCATAGGTCATGATACAAAGGTAAAGAATAAAAATCTTTAACCTGGATTTCATACCAATAATATCATAGTAAAAAAAATCAAACCTACTATCCAGCAATCAAGTTGTTACATCAACCTGCAAGCCACTCTCCTGGTTTCACTCTGGGGAATCCTTCTGATCTTGTCTGTCTCCTTTCCCAGTCCTTGGCTTTCTATTACATTCCTCCCTTAATTCCAGACAGCTCCAGTTTACCTGCAGGGCAGAGCACCTGAGGTCACTTGATGACAGACCCCCCCTCTCATTACTGGTGCTGGAAGAAGTGACAGCTTGTAGCTGCTGAGAAACAAAAGCAAGGGGAATGCTTTCGGCAAGTTAGGTGCCACCCTCTTACCTTCGTAGCTGAATTGCTTACCTGTCCTTTGACCTTTCCAGCTTTGCTCCCTGATGATTTGAGGACCCTTATCGAAGAAGCAAAGGAAATGAAGTGGCCCTTTGTGCCGGAAAGGTGGCAGTACAAAGAAGCCGTGCATCTTGAAGACAAAACAAACCTGCAGGATATGATCAGTGCAAAGCTCTGTGACTTACTGGTATGAAGCATAAAATAACCTGCATTCTATTCACTTTGCACTTGAGTGTACCATGATCTAAGAAACGGTAGCTTCTGTGTCACGCAGGTAACTCCCATTCTTCACTGTTGTTTCCATCAGATGACAGTTACCGTCTTGATTCAGTTTAATACTTTTGATTAAAACACTTGCGAGAGCAAGACAAAACAGGGCATCAGAGAAGGTGGTGCCTTTATTTGTTTATTTTAGCAAATGTATCAATCCTGAACATTTGTAGGAGTGAAAATAGCAGTTTTTTTAAATCACATTTTTGTGGGAAACCCAGGAGGGAAAAATCCAGGGGATCAAAAAAGAAAGAAAGAAAGAAAGAAAGAAAGAAAGAAAGAAAGAAAGAAAGAAAGAAAGAAAGAAAGAAAGAGAGAGAGAGAGAGAGAGAGAGAGCAAAAGAAAGAAAGAAAGAAAGAAAGAAAGAAAGAAAAAGAAAGAAAGAAAGAAAGAAAGAAAGAAAGAAAGAAAGAAAGAAAGAAAGAAAGAAAGAAAGAGAAAGAAAGAAAGAAAGAAAGAAAGAAAGAAAGAAAGAAAGAAAGAAAGAAAGAAATCAGGGTTCAAGTCCATGATTTAAATAGCTAGATTCTTGCTCTCTTCTTGCTGGATCATCTGTGTGGAAACATGTGTGGAAGTATAGCACGTAAAAAAGGGAGGTGGTGGTTACCGCCAAGAACCATAGTTTCGCTCCAGATGCAAGCAGCCATAAGAATACTGTATCAAGCAGGCTGTTCTTTCTCGCCCACTTCCAGATGCGAACGCTTCAACATGCGTGTTGAGCCATGCCTTGGCATCGTGGGAAGGTTTTGCTGCTATTCTACAAATTCCTGGTGCTAAGTGGAATTTTATGCTGATTCTCCATTTGTAGTGCCTGTTCTCCCTTCCCCCCCTTTCCCTTTCCCTTTCCTCCTCCTTTTTTGGTGTGTGGCCTCAGACAGAAATTTACAGCAGAGGGCTGACCTCTTTGACAAGGCCCACAAAGCTCTCAGAGTTGAGGGCATTTGTCTGCTCCCTCCCAGGGTAAACACCTGCATTAGGCTCCGCAAGAAACCTGGATGGATGGGAGATTAATGTGGCTATAATAGCAGAGCAGGGGTTGCAATCATTATACCCTCACCCCAGGTAGATGGGCTGTTTCGGAGATGATAACAATTGTTTATTACTGAAACATCTGTTGATAACCGCAGCTGCCCAAGCAAAACAAAACATACCACAGGGTCACAGGCTATAGTACTCAATGAATACAGTTGCGACTCATGTTAGCTTTGAGGCTGTTCGCCAGAGAGGGTTACCATCATCTCCCATGTTTCCTCATTCCATAAAATATTGTTTCTAAATACTGTTCTCCTTTCTCTGTTGGTTCTTAAGCATTATTTCATTTTCATTGGTAATTTATATCCCAACTCTATTGTACTATGAGAGAAAAGTGGTACCTTTTTCATTGTTTCTCATTTAATTGTAGAATGACTGACATTCTGACCCATAGTACTAGTATTGGTCAGGAAAGGTGGTTTGCCCTCCTTTGCTCTCTTTCATCCAATGTTTTTCCCTCACTTGAAAAACCATAAAAATAAATTTTGCAGGGCATAAGAGGAGTTTCTTTATACCTTTGATTAAGATACTGGAGGTGTGGGGAATTAACTTCAGAGAAAAATAAAAATTGACATAAGAATGACATTCTGAATTTTCTCTTTTCCTATGATCTGGAAGCAGGGAACTATTTTAATTCCCTCTGAAAGAGAAACCCGCCTTTGTTGATATTGTCTGGGGGAACCTTTAACATTGTTTCATCTCAGTTTATTCTAAAGTGGCAAGTTTAGAATAAGCTCTCCAGCCGCAATGAACCAGTGTTTGTAAAGTGCTTTGGGATCCTTGAATGAAGTGTTTTTATTATTCAGGAAGGTCAGATTTTGTGGTCCTTATTCACAGTGGGCAGCATCTTACTTCTCGAGTAGCTTCACTGATCTCAGAGTGTCTCTATGAGAGCACTTGGGCCTTCAGTCTGAAAGTTTTGACTTAGCCTTGCATTGTTACCGGGCAAGGCTTTGTCTGCAGCCCGTTGCTCTGTCGAGTCTGCAGAACAACTGGGTGCTTACATCATTCTTTTAAACAGTTCAGCTCAGGCACTGGCTGCAGAATCCTATTGTGCAAAACAACCTGAATAGAGGAAAGCTCATAAAAGACATGTTGGCAGTGATGGGGGGGGGAGAGTGGGGAAATCTCATATCTACTAAATGGGATGAGAAACTCAGTAATGATATTATCAGGGCAATGTGTGGTACTTGTAACACATTTTATAATAACTGTGATATTTGTTGTCGAAAACCTGAAAGGAATTTGAAAAAGAAAATGAGATTTATAAACGTCTAGCCTAATCTTCATAAATTATTCCTTTGACTATTTTGGAGTGAAATTCTGATCGTCGCCTATATATTAAGTGCAGCTCTCTTAGATTCTTTGAAGTGCTATTTATTAACTGTTTGTTTGCTTGTTTGTTTTTGTTTCTTTGTCCATTTTACTTTTTTTCAACCTAATTTTCTACATCAGACTAATACCACTGAAATTAGAAACAGTGCAAGCAATGTAGCAATTTAAAACTGAACACCATTACACAAAAATGTACCCACAGATTTCTTTTAAAAAAAAACCTTGACATTCTGGGGGTGGGGGTGGAAGAAATCACACATAGAGTCTGAAAGATATATGCTCTGTAGCCTAATGTTGAGCTGTATGGTGAGAAACATTTAAGGAACAGGATAATAAACTGAGGCAGGTGGTTCCACAGACTGGGTGCTGACCCATAGAAGGCCCTTTCTCCACTCCTCCTATACCCTGTACTTCAGAGAACAGTAAGACATGGCAAAGAGCATCTCCCACTGTTCTGATTGTACTGGCAGGATGATACAAGAGAACATAAGACTCAATGTATTTAATCCCAAACTCCTCAGAGTCTAAATGGTAGCAACCAGCAGTTCTAATTGTACTTTAAAAGATATCGCTGGCCAGTGCAGTCCTTCCAAAAAGGGCTTTGCAGAATTCTGACTCCAGCAGAGCGAGCTTCAGGATTGAGTTTATTCTGACAAAATCATCATTGCTGGACCCCTTCCTTTCTCCATGGACCCTGGAAGACTTAATGGTACCTGGGACAAAGGACAACATGGTGGGATCTTCCATCTTATACAGAACCCAATTTCATTAACAGTAGCGTCTTCCTTCAGTCCTGATGATAGGGCAGCATCCTTCACTGCAGCAGAGGGCACCAGACTATCTCAGGGGGTGCAGGACAAGCCGCAAGATACATTGTTACTCTGCTTTCCAACACCATAATACTTCGGCCCTGCAGCATCTCTTTTCTCAAGTGGCTGCCTCATTTTGCCTAATGGTAGAGAGCCAGCCCTTCCCTAGTGGGTGGCAGTATCAATTTGACAAGCAGTGCTAGAGTGGCTGGTTGCCCAACATTACAGAGAACAGTCCTTCATTTCTTTAAGCTGTCAAAAGTTATTCCTCTGCCTGAAGACATACTTGGTTAAAAAAGCAGTTCCAGTACAAGACTGATTAAAGATCAAGAGCCCTAAGCAAGGGCACATGAACTGTCAGTGGGTGACTAGCATTTGAGCAGCAAATTGAGCAGATGCATTGGCGACCTGGCTTCAGTCTTCTCCAGACAGTAAAATGTACTCTCTCTTTTTTTTGCTGTATAACAATTGCTTTTTAAAAATTTCTATACATACATATATAGATTAGCATATGAATGGTTTACGCAGATTGGTATCTTCTTTGGTGTTTCTGGAAAGATATAAATGGCAAGGCAAAGCAGCACTGAACATCTGGGTCATCCTGCTATGTCCCAGATGGATACTTCCTTGAGGAATTGTTGCTCTGTGCCATCTAGGTGCCTCCATGTCAATGAGTGACCTCCAAATATGTCCTGTTGTTAGCTTACTTACTTAGCTTTTGCAAACCTGATCCTGTGGCTTCTTTTATTGAGCCAATCCATCTCATACTTGGTTTTCCTCTTTTCCTTCCACCTTAAGTTGGGGTGTTGCAGGGATCTGAAATGCAGGCTAGATCAAGCTGCATAGCAACGACTGGTGAGGGTGGAGGAGAGGATATTTAAAAAGAAGGCCCGTAGCAGGGATCAGTAGTAGACCATGATGGGCATAAGGGCCCTGACATGAAGAATGAAGGTACTGAAACTGACTTTGGGTTCTAACTCAGGCATCTTGAAGTTGCATTTTGTACTACTGAACATTCTCCTCAAGGCAGCCCAACAGAGTGTAATCCAGTCTTGAGGTGACTATCATACATGTGACTATGGCCACATCCTCATCCTCTTGAAACAGAGATTCCTCAGATGCATTTAAAGAAATTATTTGTGCAATTGTATCTTCAGGTTGAGGAGACAGAACAATATGGAACATTAATACAGATGTCTAAGAGTTTAGATGCTGGGGCTGAAATTTATGGTACTGAATGACTGAACTGCTGTGATGCCACTGGGAAGCAGAACAGATTTTGGTTGCCATTGGCTGAGCTGTTCAGATCCTAGAAAAAGATGGGAAAGAAAGAAAGACCTAGGCAACCAGTGGGACTTGAAGAACCATGGATTTCAGAAGGCAGGATCTATGCACTTGGGAACATTCTGCCTTGCGGTAGATCCAGCCCTGCGCTAATGAGTGGCAATATCAATTTTACAGACAGTGCCTACGGTGGCTGGATGCCCAATACTCCAGAAAGTTCTCTTCCTTTTCTTGGAGCTGTCAAAAGTTATTCGGGTAGAAAGGAAGTTTTCTATTTGGGGCCAAAACTTGGAGAAGTTACTTTCTAGATTGCAGATTTGTCTGGGAGTTGTAGTCCAAAACTAGAATTTTTCCAACGCCATTTCCCAATATAGGGGAGTGTGTGATGCACAGAAAGGAGGCAGTGATAACACAGCTACAGGGAGAAGTCTAGAGCTCAGGATAAGGAAGACTGAA